GTGTAAGGATAGAGCCTCAAAGTGACTTTTTAATATTTCTTTTCAGCACAGTCCTTTTATCTGACCTCATTAAAATGTCTCAGCGTTGTTTATCCAACATACCATTTAATCAAAACCCTCTGCTAGATTCTTCCCCAGATTCATTTGTGACCCATCTGAGCAAACATTCTGGAGGGTTATAATGAAGAGAAATGTAGGAGAATGATAACAGCTTTCTTTCTTTTCTGAACAGTAAATATTTTAGTAATCCATCTCCATTTCTTAAATTTGGTTTATCCTGGAATATTGTGTATTACTTTACCTTAGATAAAAAGCATTGTACATGTCTGAAAATCAAAAAGATTGGAAGGAGATTCAGAGTCATATTTCTTAATATCACTCTTTACTTTCTCATGTGTAAACTCCAATCTAGTAAAGATAGGACCATTCCCAAAACTGACTTTGTCAATTGGAAAAAAATATAATTAATAGTTTTGCAATGTTACGGAGATCATTTCAATGTGATCTTATTCATTGTAGGCTCCATATATGTGTGGAAGATCCAGTAAAGTCATTCAAATAAGGTATCTTCATTTTGCAGATGAGAAAAGCAAGTCCAGAAAGACTAAAACCATAACCACTTTAAGAGTGTTTATAATAACTCTAGTGTGGGGCTCATTTTTCTCGCTGATGCCTCATCCCTTAGATATGCACTGTCTCAATATTAAGAAAAAAATATCTCTAGCAGGGAGTATGTCAAGAACCACACCAGCAGGTAGTTATTGTTATCACTTGACTTCAAGGACTACTAGAGAAAGAGCCAGGTAGGAGTACTGAAGTGCTGAGTCCACTTGATTCTTTTGTTGGAAATTGTGGAAGAATGAAGTGTGCCAAGTCTCCCCCTTTCCTGCACACTCCTCTGGTGCTTTCCACTCCTCTGCCAAGAGATAGATCCATGCTTTTCTTCCATGACTCTAGATAGGCTGTTTCAAACAATGCAGTATGCAGGAGGGATGCTCCTTAACACCCGACTGTTATGAAAAGTCTGAAACTCACCCGCTTGTGGGGACCACACAGAGTTGGCCTAAAAGGGCAGCTGCCAGCTGTTGCTCCTCCAGTGCTTCAAAATCCAGCTGCTGCTCTATGGTAACTGCTGCAGCTCCCAAGTACGAACATCCAGCCTGAGCTTCCTGACCCCCTGACCCATGGAAACGGAGATATAGTAAGAGGAATGCTTAGGTTGCTAAGTTTTGGAGACATGGGTTATGCAACCGTGGTAATGGAAGCAGAAATTATTTCCCATGATTTCCCTCAATAGTCACAGTTGACATTTGGAAGGTGGGTGTGAGTTTATTTTTTATACTCTGAAGCAAGACCCAGGGCCCTGGGGCAGCTCACACGCTCACTGCTGATCTGATGACTCACCTTGCTGGCGTGGACACGAAACTGGCACTGCCACCACTCCGCTCTTGCAGAATCTGCTCCTTCATCTTTTCTAAGCCCTGGACCAAATGTGCCCTCAGCTCCAGGGCTAAGGGTGCCAGGCGTGGACTGAAATAGAGAGATTCCAGGTCATTTTTGCAGGTCCCTGCTTTCCTCCTGGCTTCCAGTCCATCCTCATGGGCTTAGTTTGTCTTCGCTCTTTTGCATATTCATCTTTTCTTCCCAGCTGCTGGTCTGACTGATCGGCGCTGGCAGATACTATCGTCCACCAGGCCCATACAGGTTAAGTCAACCCTGTGATCACTCCTTATTCCTTATCAACCAGCGGTTCTGTTCTGCTGATGCGGAGACACTCACTGTGACCCTGGTGTGTTTGAAATGTTGGGCTCATTTCCTGTGGAGATTGGGGTGTGCGCTGAGGCAACCTGAACACTCTTGATTTCATTGTGGTTAAGGTCAGTCTACACTTTCCTAAAAAAAAAAAGATTGGTCTTGGGAGTCTGTGTGGCCTCTAGTTGTTTAGTTATTAAATGTCTGCAATCAGGATCTCAGTGCTGGGGGTGAGACTGGAATTTTGGAAATGCCCATGTAGAGATGAGTGTGAATTCTCTGAGTACTCAAGTAGCAGAATCCAAGGTAAACACAGTGGGTTCTTGGGGAAAAAACTAAAAACTGAAAAACAAAGACATGCATTCCTGATTTTGTGAATAAGAAGGAAAGACACAAGTTCAACAACTTTTCTTCAGGAAGTCAGAAGCCATTAATGTAATTATCCTTAACATCCTCCATCAATCCATCTAATCAATTCTTACTTAGTGCCTTTTACTCTGTTTAAGACAACCAAGATCTCTGCTTTGATTTGAAGTACTGGGAAAGAGATATGCAGATAAATGGAAATGATACTGACTCATAGTAAATAAATCAATTTTGTAAAACATTATAAAAATTACTGGCTCAACAGCCATTAATTAGAGGCATATGAGTAGCTTCATCTATGTGCGTTGTCAGACTGGGGTTTGTGCCTGATAAGGAAGGGGGGTGGGAATGTAGAGAAATTGTCCATATGGCATTGGTTGTTTTCCATGAGCTATGGAATTTCCAGAATATCGCTGCCCATCATGGGATGGGAAAACAAAGTGAGATGTTCCCCCTCTGCTGTCGGGATTGCTGATTGCTCTCCCAGCTGTTCTTTGTAGAGGACTGTTTGGGTGGGTGTCCAGGGGCTTTGGCCATGGTTGAGGGGATGAAAAAGCTGATCAAATAGAAATCCATGTCCCTGCCTTCTTTTTGATACAAAGAAATAAAACAAGGCATGGAACGGATGGAGGCAACCAGCCCTTTGTTATCAGTCATGGGGGGTCAGGAGACATAATTGGGTCTGAGAGTTAAGTCAGCCTGTGTAGCCAGCTATGCCCACAGATGGACTTGGCCACTTGCATGGGGCAGTGTGGAAGTAGCACCCACCAGGGCAACTGCATGGAGACTGGAGACCCCAGATTTCCATAGGTTGGTGTGTTGCTAAGAGGAAAAGAGAGAGTAGATGAAGAAAGAATAAAGAATAGAGACTAGAGTGGAATAATGTGACGAGAAGCCAGGACAATGGAGCTCGCTGAGCTTCCTCACCAAGCCAGCAGCGAGGAGCAGGGCCCTCCCTTGGAAGTGTGAATCAGCAGTGAAGCTTTGCTTCTTCGGGATGGGCCTCAAACCTGTCATCCAGTCTTTTTCGGGAGAAATCTTTTCTCTCCCCCATCAGCCTGAGCACATACCTGCCCTCTACAGCCCTTAGCAGCAGTGGCAGCAATGACAGCCCCTTCCTGAGTCTTTCCTCTTGGGACAATTTTCTCTTCACATGCAAAGTGCCTGCAGCTTCCAGGGAGGAGGGCTGAGGGCTGCTCTAAGGTCAGCCTTACCTCCCACTTGCTCGCTGGCCTGATGAAAGATGCGCTTTGCCTGTATCACATCTCCACAGAAATGATTCTTGATAAAGTCACCTTGACGCCTTAATTGGCAAATCTAATGTTTTCTTCTCAGTCCTGAGCTCAGTGACCTATCTGCAGCCTGGGGAGCCCCTCCCCTGGGGAACTCTGCCCCCATTGACATTCCCAGCGCCTCCCTGCCTCCGATGTCTTCTTAACCTCAGTGCTCATGTCCAAGGACTCTGAGGACAGTCGTCCTCTGCCACTGAGCTTTGAAGCCCCGTGTCTTGCCCACCATCTGGGACCCGGCGGATGGCATCGTCTCTTAGAAGTCACCCCTCCGTCCCAAGTATTTGACACAGCTCTCCTGTCTTTTCCTGAAGGTCTCCACTCCATATGCTAAGGGAAGGTGACTCCTTTTGCAGTCCCAGGGATGGATAATGATTTATTTAATTGAGTCATGTAATTTTATTTCCCTTTGCACTAATTGGTTTAAGCGTGGACTTGTGATTCAATCATGGGCAGCAGGGAGAAATTGTCTAGGGGACTTCTGGGATAGATTTGCCAAACTAATAAGAAGAGGGAGTCGATTAGTTTGTTAGGTTTCTGTAACAAAGTTCCACCCACTGGGTGGTTTAAACAACAGGGAATTATGTCACATTTCTGGGGCTGAAGTCAAGGGGTCAACCATGGTGGTTCTTCCTGAAGATGGTGGGGGGCCTGTTCCAAGCCTCGCTCCTTAGCGTTTCAAAGGCCATCTTCAGGCCCCCTGCATGTGGCTCTCCGTCTCCAAGTTTCTTCCTCTTATGAGGACATCAGTCATAGTGGATTGATGTCCACCCTAATGAACTCATTTCAACCCGATTACCTCTGTAAGGGTTCCATCTCTAAATCAGGTCCCTCTCTGAGGCACTGAAGATTAGGATTTCCAACATAAGAATTTGGGGACACAAAATTTAATCCACAAAAAAGGGGAGACAACCTTTTCAAAAGCATTGTCCATGCAGGAGCTGCAGCAGACCCACTGTCACCATGGGGAGGCATCTGATTACCAGGTCAACATATAGAATATGGCCAAAGAGTAAGAGGACTCGGTCCCTGCTGCCTTCTTTAGTCAAAGCTGTGCTTTTGGAGGAGCTCGCTGTGATATGCGTCCTGTTTGGGTTGGAAACTGAGAGCAGTCGGGCCAGCTAAGTGGCTCTGCGGTGATCCCAGTGAAAAGAGGGATGTTATGAAACGGCAGCAGTGAGGACACTTTCTTCTAAAGAGAAAGATGGTAGCAAGCGCTGTGCTTTGGACGCACCTGTATAGCTACCTGTCCCAGGCTGCTGGTAGCAGTACCTGCTTAGATTGCAGGCCATTTAAGGATTGAAAAACAAAACCAGAGCCAGCCGTTCCAATAACCATTTTGTGAATACAAAGGAGTTGTGGGTTGAACTCTTCCTTCTTCCTACTAGTACAATTCTGGATATTGCCTGTAGTCTGAAAACAGGAATGGAAAGTAGGTGCTTTCTCTCAGAGTTCCATAAAACAGTGGTTCATGGAAAGCTAATCCTGTGATGTTCATAGAGTTTATACAAGTCAACGGTGAGAAGTATGTTCTGTGACCATATAAATTCAGACATTTGAATTATGTCCATGATGAATGCAGGACTTCTCAGGGCCTTTAATTATAGAGTGTGGATCGCAAAGGCAGGGATGTAGGGAGTAATATTTGCAAAACTCGGCTCATCCATTGCAAGGCTCTTATCACAGGGGCATCTCATGAGACTGAGTTCTCTGGGCTATGCCACGGCAAACAATGATTTTACTCCAGGCTTCATTTCTCTTCCTGCTGGTACATCACACACTAAGTACTCAGGGCCCTTCCAGATGTGATTGCCAATTCCCTCATGACCCGCGAGTCTTTGTGCAGTGGTATCGACATCCCCATTTGAAACGCTGAAGCAAGAAGAGATGAGGAATATTACTGTGTGAATGGAGCGACTCCCAGGAGACAGGGAGCTGAGAAGGGAATCAGTGAGCCTGCCTCAGATCAGGTAATGGGCCAAACCTTCAGCCAGACCTGCTGGGTATGGAGCACCCCCACGTGGGCAGAACCCACCAAATAAAAGGTGTTTGTTTCAGGCACCTCTGAGAAGGGAATTGCAGGGGAGGAAATGCGCTGCTCCTTCCCCAGGGAGAGAGGTTTTATGGATGCTCTTCCTGGACCTGTGCTCTTGAATGCAGGTGCCCAGGCAGGGGCTGAGTCCTCAGCAGCAAGGCTGAGTGTGCTCTGCCTGTGTCCCTGGCTCGCCCCTCAGGGTGTGGTTTAGAAGCTTGGAGCACACATCATCTGGAGGCCAGATGATGGCGGCTGGCCTGGGGAAGTGGCGAGGGAGGACCTACTGGGAGGGGGTGGGGCTCAGCCGGGGGCAGCCCAGGGCTGGCCAGGACTGGCTGCGGGAGGCGGGTGTGAGGTGGACCAACATGCTCGAAAGGTGGTGGCAGGGAAATTGTCCAGCTCCCGTGGGGACCTTCGCGAACTTTGTTAATTTTGGGAAGCCTCAGTGTTCTCATCTGTAAAGTCAGGCAAAAAAAAAAGACCTTTTAAAAACTAAAACAAAACCTCACATCTCATAGCGTTATCATGGAAATTAAATCAATGAACTTGTACAAAGCACTTGACGCCATGACTGATGCGTAATAAGCACCCAATAAATGGTGGCGGCTAGCATCATCGCAGTCAGTGAACGAGAGGTTGTAATAAATGCTCCCGGAGCTGAAATAAATTCTTGTCCATGAACGAAACTAGGGAAAACAACACATAAGACATGAGCTGAACCGTCTAGAGCCCAGCTCCCAGGAAGGGCCGCGGTCTGCGTGGCTGTGCAGACGTGGCAGCAACAAGCGTGGGCACAGCGGAGGCGACGCTCAGAGCTGCTGGGACGTGGCTGATGCAAAGAGCCTGGATGCCAATCGATTATATCAGCATAACCGTGCAGAGGGGGTGTCCAGAGAACTGACGGGCTCTGGAAACAGGGCGGGTCAAAGACAGTCTAGAAACAGGAAGGGTCAAAGGGCGAGGCTTGGCTCTTTCCTATTCAGGATGGTGCAAGAGGAGGGAAATGAAGGGCGGGAGAGAGGCGAGGACAGACCTGGACACAGAGGCAGGAAAGCAGAGGAGGGGAGAGACAGAGCGATAGAGCCGGGAGGGAGTGGAGACATGTCTAGGGTTGCAGAACGTCAGACGAGAAAACGATGCTGAATCCAGAATGCAGGGACATTCAGGTCACAAAAGGGACAGCGCTGAGGGGGCCGATGGTCTCTCCCTTCCAGACATCCCAATATTATTTATCCTTCCTCCAAAGGAATTTCACGAACACACTTCCTCCTTGAGTGAAGTGACATCAGTTTGTCACACCAGGTTCAGGTGCGCAGACAGCCTCAGCATCTGCTCCTTTGGTGCCTTTTACCCGACTGCCCCCTGCTTCCCCCTCCCCGTGGGAACTGTCGCTGAGCACAGGGGTCCTCTCTGGGGGGTGACAGCCTGCTCCCCAGTGTGCTGAGGAAAGGGTAGGTCTTGCAGCCAATAGCGAGGTGTGGAGCTAGCGCCCAAGGACTGACCCCTCCAGCGGGGCCTTGAAAAGTCCTTCAAAGGGAAAGAGGTCAAGCTGAACCGAGAAGTCTGGGGGCTGAAGTCTGGAGCAGACGGACGCTGAAGGGCTGGGGTCCGTGGGGAGACTGGCTTCCACACGTGTCCCTTGTCCTGGAGACCCTCAGCTCCTCCACAGAGGTCTCCACATGCTGGTGAGGCTGGAGGCGATTTCCGGGCACTCGGGCCTGCGCTGGCGGCCTTGGGTCCTCCTCGGCTTAGCAGGCTGCTCCAGCCAGACAGAGGCGGCATCTGTTTAGCAAGACAAGCCGAGGTACTGTTTAAAGTAAGGCAGGCGCTTCACCTGCCTGCCGGGGAGCAGCTCAAACAGGCAGCGTCTTCACCGTCGGCTGCCCGGTTCTCCGGGGCCCTGGTTCAGCCGCAGAGCCGCTGTGTTGACAGACTCCCGGCCGGCGGCACAGGCCCCCGCAGGCTGACTGTGGTTGGAACTTTCCAGGCTGAGGGCGTCTCAGCGGCTCCTCTGACCTCAGCCGTCACTTCTGCAGTGGGGAGACCCCACACTGGAGGGCGAGCACCCCCAGAAGCCACAGTCAGTGCTGGCCGAGCAAGGGCTGGGCCAGGCCAGCAGAAGGCATTCGGAGCTGTGGTTGATCCCTCTGGCCCTGCTTGATCACCTGGAATCTGTCTCCTTCGGTGTCCATCCTTCGCAGCCCAGGCCAGCCGAGCAGGGGCTTCCCGGGAGGGGAGGGCAGCGTGCCTCCTCCAGGAGCTCTCCGGCTCGAAGGCCTGGCGGGCGTGCACATGACTGCTCACGCACTTGACTCCAAAGGGGACCCGTGCCAGGACCCGCCCTGCCGAGGGACACTCCTCGAGGGGGGCCTCCGACAGCAGGGCCCCATCCCTGGGCAGCAGTGAGCTTCTCAGTGGATGGCTAGTGGGGTGCAGGTGGCATGGCAGATCTGAGGAAGGCCAGGAATGATGCCGATGTGACCTAAGTAGGATGTGGGGCAGATCGAGACCCCCGGTGTCTCAGTTCAGGCTGCGCTGATAAGCACCTCGATCTCGATGGCTTTTAGCAACGGGGATTCCTTTTTCAAGCCTTGGTGGCTAGAGCCTGAGGTCTGCCTGGCTGGCTTGGTGAGGGCCTCTGGCTCGGGGACTGCTGGCTTCCTGCTGTGTCCAGTCAGGTACACGGGAATCACCCCAACCCTCCGGGTTCTTATCGGGCTGTCATCAAACAGCACCTGAGAGGTTAGCACAGGAATTTGTAACATAAGTTTGGAGGTTTACATGGTTTAAATTCTCAAGAGTCATGGAGCGGACCGGGGATTTTCATCCTGCGATTAGGGACCTGGGGTGTCAGGAGCAGGGGGACATTTCACATCACAGACAGGGGAGGCCTCATCTAACCCAGAGTGAGGATGAGATTCCCACAGAGGACGTGTTCGCTGATTAACAGCATCGGACCCCTCAAGTTACATCCTGTAGGTCATAAAAGGGGGAGCAGTGATTGCTTCATAGATGGGAGGGGGTGAAGGACTCAGGCAAGGAGAAAAGCTGTCCTCAGCCCCGGGCCCCTCCTGCTCTCAACCCCGAACAATCTGCATTGCTGAAGTGGTGGTGTAGCCTCCCCAGGCCCACAGGGCCTCGGGTGACCCCTAGGTCCCATACCAAGGTCACAAGAGACCTACTGGGTGCTGCTGAGAAAAGTCATTTGACCCTTTTGGGGAGACCAGCCCCCAAATTGCTAGATGGCAGAGAAAGTGTGAGGGTGCTTTTGGATGTGGACTGTGGGATGGGGTGCAGCTGCGTCAAGCACAAGGCACAAGGTGCAGTGATGAGTGGGGGTTCCTCAGGCATTAGGGGGGAGCTAGGTCCTCAGACACCCCACAGAGGGCTTGCATCTGGCACTTTCCATATCAGGTGCCAAATCCCAGCCTCCACCTGCTGCCACAGCTAAGACTCCTGTGGGGGCCAGACCTGAGGGACTCAGCTGGAGATGCTCAGGGCGCAGGAGAGCTCAGTCTCCACATTTCACATCTTTAGAAAAATTAATGCCACTTGAATCTTGATGGAGAGGGCTGACATCAGCCGGGTGAGACGCTTACACACGTACCGAACCATCGGGCTTTCTATCCACATACAAAGAAAACCGGGGTCGGGAAGAGATAGGAAGAAGGAAACTTGAGATCAGTGAAATAATTGGGTTATTTGGAAAACAGCAGGGGCCTATGTGGGGAACAAGTTCCATCACCTATTTTCAAATCACCATTTTTCTCAGATCCACCCGCTTCTCCTCAGTGCTGGTGCCCACCGCCGCGGCCATGTGGGAAGCCCTTCTCGACAATGGAGAATCCCGACATAGTTTAACAAGCAGACATTTTACAATTAGAATAAACATTTGAAGAATTTCCTATCCTGGAGGGCTTGGAGATTAAGATAGCTTCTCTCTGGCAAGATTGAAAAATTCTCCTTCTAGAAATGGATGAACGAATTTACCTCTGAAAGTCCGATGGGTCAATTATCAAGCAAAGCCTGACCCTGGCAGTGGGTGAGGCCCCCTGGCCTGCAAGTGCAGGGTTGGGGTGGAGGACATTACTACTCAAAACAAGTTTGCAGTTTCCTTTGAGCCAACAAAACACAGCCTTGAGCCAACAAGCACACGCAATGTGCAGGCGGTGGGTCACGGAGTCGCCTCTCAGCCAGCGTCTTGGCCAGTTTCCACTCAGGAAAATAAAACCACAGTTACTTTAACCTTCAGTGTAAGTGTGAGGACTTAGAGAGACAGGTGTTGAGTGCCTGAAAGGCAAACCTGGCCACTGGGGTAACACAGTTCAGGAAGCAAATAACAAACCTCCCCCCACCCCTGCCCCCACACTTAGCAGATTGGGGGGACCAAAGAAGGAGAAAGGAGTCACTAGAAGCTAGGAGGCTAGAAGGGACCTTGAGGAACTGGAAGGGTCCCAGCTAACACAGGTGTCCTGGGATCCAGAACTGAGACCCAGAACTCTCAGGAGAAGGCAAGGGAGGCCACGCTGCGGCAGGGGGAGGTACTGAGACTGAGATCACCACGCCAGCAAAGCCGAAGGCCCTTCTCTCCAGTGAAGCTGAGAGACACAGGAAGCGAAGCAGAGCAAGCAAGTCGCTTTCAGGGACTCCCACCTCCCCCTGTCTCCCTAGAAGGTCTGCTATGGACAGAAACGTGCCTGGGACAGGGAGATGGGCAGCTGGCAAAGCAGAGCTGTCCTAGCCCCCATGTCCCAAAAAGAGCAGGGAGGGTGCCTCAGGAGACAGTGGACTGGCTACCAGGACACTGTCCTAGAAGAGCACATGGCAGACTGGGCGGAGATTCTAGACGTGTTCCACCTCCTGGGGTCAGTGTGCGGAAGGCCCCATGGACAAGCAAGCTCAGGCTGGCTCCACCTTGGGCCATTCCAGCATCTCTCATTTATTCAGTCAATAACCTTTTTTTTAAGCTTTATTTATTTATGCATACAAGCATTGGTGTACAGACCAGAGATGCGGGGGGTGAGAGGATCCACCAGAGACAGAGCGGGGAGCAGAACAGGCAGACTGACTGAAATCCACTGCTGAGGGGAGCAGCGGGCGAGACAGGAGAGGTCTGCTGCACCATGTGGGTAGCTCCCTGGCTGGCCGGGAACTGAACTCGTGCTGCAGAGGCTGCGGATTGCTTCATAGTGTGGTACTTAACCCCTTGTGCCACCAGGGAGGTCCAGTCAATAACCTTTTGAATGCCTGCAAAGTGCCATGTCCTCTGTGAACCTTTAGAAATACAAGGATGCTTTAGAAGGACCAGGCCCCTGTCTTGACAGATCTTGCATTAAAGGACCAAGAAAAGAATGAAATGCAGAACAACACCGACCACCCAGAATCCAGGTTTTAATAAGTTCATGAAGGATGTACAGCAGGACCATGTGGCCTAGAGAGACAGGAAGAGCTTGAGACCACTTCCAGTTAGGCCAGAGGGAATGTGATCATCCTGGTTTTAGTTGTTCTTCCTCATCCTCTGATGCCTACCTAGTCTGTGCTTCCAACCTGTGGGAGCTTGAAAAATGTTAGCTAAATTGGACAAATCTGCCTCTCCTGCCATTTTTAGGCAGCTATGAAGTCCCCTATGTGGGGTGATTTGTGTATCTGAAGTCCTGCATGCCATGCCCACCTTGGCCCACCACTTCTGTGACTTTGGGCAAACTGTTTAACCATCCCTGGGTGTCAGTGACAGTCTTTGTCAAATCAACACCTGTGTCTCAGGCTTGTGGTGGGGATAACAGAGGCGATGCACTCCGAGGATCTTCTGCTTTTATAAATGTGAATTCCTTCTTCTACTAAAAGCACTCAAGCAAACAGGGCCACTAGGATGATAGAAGACATTATTAATCTATCGACCTACCTCCCTACCTGCCTACCTATCTATCTATCTGTCATCTATCCATCCATCCATCACCTATCCATTAATCCATCATCCATCATTTATCTTTTCCTTGCTCCTTCCCTGCTCCTTCCTTCCTTGTTTTCCTATGGAGCCCTCTGAGAAAGGATCAGTGTAACTGAGTCACATCAGGTGGGTCCATCCATTTTCCTGAAACATTTGTGTACAGGTAAAATCTGACTAGACATCAAAGTGGTGGCAGCCTTTGGGTTGGCATGGACATAGAATAATGACAGTGTAGTTATATTGTATTTATTATGCACAAATATAATGAAACCTCTATAATTAAATCCATCATTGGCTCTTGACTTTTGCTATTCATCTTCCTCTGGTCCCTTGAGGAGAAATCTACTGTCGTGCACTTTGGGATGAGGCCAGTTCCTGGAGCCTGCCCTCTGCTTGCTGTTTCTTGTTTCCTCTTCTGCCTGTTGTTTAATAGTTTAAGTCATTTTACAGTTTGCAGAGGACTTTCTCCTATTCTAATGGATTTCATTTTATAACAAATGCATATGTGTGTTTTCTGGTATTGAGTAGCTACAGCATCTGAGACCAGAGAGGTTAAATAACTTGCTCAATTGGTTAGTGGCAAAATAGCCATTTTAGCTCAGGGATTCAGTGGGTGTTATTTGGAGACATAGTCATCCTGAGACTGCTTTTTATCATGCATAATCTAGAAAATCTTTACTTCTCTAAAAAGTCCCTCTTTTAAAAAATAGCCTGCCCTCCCCCGGGCTGCCCGGATTGAACCTGATTCTGAAGGAGTTGACAACACTCCGTGATTCCATTTAGACATTCAGACACCAAGGTGCAAAAACATTGTTCCCAGCCTCCGCCGCCCCCCACAAATAAAAAGATCTGAATACGAAACCTGCGTGGATGCGCAGTTAAAGTAAACTATTCCTAAGTCTTCTCTCTTTACCAGATTCTGGAAAAATCCACCGAGGTGGTTTTTGTCTGAGTTGTTTTACTTTTATCCCATGTTCGCGTTGTGCTGTCCTGTGTGCTGATGCTCTCACTGCACGTGTGCTCTGTCACTGCCATCCTGCCTGGACATTCTCTGGGGCCTGGACATCCTCTGGGACCTGGACATCCTCTCGGGCCTCATCTAAGGAGCGGTTGAGCAGATCTCTTCCTGTACTCTGAGGCCACCTCCACTCCTGGGTTGTGCCCACCCCTCTGCAGGAGGCAGCTGTGGAGGAGCTGGCATTTTCTGCAGCTGTGGGAGGCCAGGGTTTGAGCTTTGCTAAGGGCTGTCAGGTCCGGATTCCCAGCAGAAGGAACAGGTCTTTTTCCAAGACTGTAGAGTCTGCTTGTGGCCAGAGGTGGTGTGGCGTGGGCCTCAGACACAGCAGTAGCACAGGTCAGAGCCTCCCCCTACCCTCCAGCTTCCGGGGACATCAGGGCAAGCAACAGCGGGACGATTCAGTGTCCACTTCCCAGCCCCCTCCCTGGCTCCGTCCCATCAGCCCCACCCCCCCCCACCCCCACATCAGCCTTTCTTGTATCTACTAATGGATGTTGGGGTGGTGGTTTTTTTTTAAAGATTTATTTGTTTTATGCATAGAAGAACTGGGGTACAGGCCAGAGGTGTGTGTGTGGGGGGTGAGAGATTCACCAGAGACAGAGTGGGGAGCAGAACAGGCAGAGTGACTGAAATACACTGCTGAGGGGAGCAGCGGGAAGACAGGAGAGGTCTGCTGCACCATGTGGGTAGCTCCCTGCCTGGGGATTGATCTTGTGCTGCAGCGGCTGTGGACAGCTTCACCGCACTTTCCTTAACCCCTTGCACCACTAGGGAAGCCCCATGGAGTGTATTTTAAGGCAAAATGAAAGAAACAGTGAATGACAACATGGGCATGAGAGAAAATGGTCAATAAATACCTCTTTGTCATCCCACTGGCCCCACCATGGCTTCCCACCAGAGGGTGTAGACCTTGACCCAGGGGCCCTGGCTGCTGCCTCATACGCCTGGCTCTTCTACTTAGGGATGAAAGGAGGGAAGTTTGAGTCATTCCCTGTCTGTGTGTCTATCTGTCTCCCGATCAGGTAAGGCCCCAGTGGCAGCCTCTCTCCTCCGCTCCGTACTCTGGGCTTGCTGAGCACCCCCATATGGTCCCTCTGGACTTTCCAGATGGGGATTATGAGATGAATGGCCTTCTGGAATCCTGGGAGAAAGGCTCTGTCCACACCATTCTCCTTCTTGGGATGAATGTGCAGCTGAGAATCGGGGTTCAGCAGCAGCCATGTCCCTGTAGTCCCCCTGCCTGGGTTCTGGCCACCCTGTTTGAACCAGCTGGTAGAAGGGAAGTGTCAGTCCTCTTCTCAGCAGCAGGAAGGGCAGGGTCCTGGCTTGGGGTTGGAGGGCCCTGTGGGGGTCCATTCAGCCACTTAGGGGGCCTTTCTGCAAACATTCACCAAGCAGCTGGCTCCTGCAGGCAATGCTCTGCGTGTTGAGAGTATCAGGATGCTTCCATGTGACACCATTGCCATAGAAAAGAAAACATTAAAAATACTCCACCGATGCAGAGTTATTTGATGTGAGAAAGAGGGGAGTGAGTCCATACAGAGCCTCTGAGCAGTGGCGGATGGGTGTGAGGTCCTTCCTGATGAGGTCCCCGAGGCTGCCTGAAACAGGCAGCTCTCCAGCTGCAGCCCTTCGAGGGCTAAGAGCACACCCTTAGGAGGACCCTTCTTTCTTTTCTGCTCCTCACCTGGATCCTTGTGCCAGTAATTTAAGACCCAGGCTCCTCATCGGCAGGGGCAGTGGTGCCTGCTTCCAGGGTGTGGGAGCGTGGGTGAGCTACCGAAAACGCCTGGTGAGTTGCCTGAGTCAAGGTGACCTCTGCATTTTTAACGCTAATGCTGTTTTTAGCATCACCCCCCAGACGGATGAGTGGCAAGAAGGGAGGGACACAGCAGAAGACAGCACAGCACAGGGTGGGCATCCTGGGTGCCTCTCCCCCCACGCCGCCCCTGGCCGTGGAGCTGCAGCTTCAGGTCCAGTGAGGCCCCGGGAAGGCCGAGCGCGCAGGCCAGTGGGCTTGGCCTAGGCTCCTCCCAACACTTTACTCGTGCCAACCTTGCCCGCCAGCCTCCAGTCCCTTCTACTCCCTCAGCGGGTCCTCGCCCCGCGGGTTGCCCCTTCTCTTCCCAGGGCCCAGCCCCACGCGGCCCCAGCCCTTTCATCAGATAACCCCGGGGCCACCCGATTGATGCTGGTATTAGGAAATCATTATCAGGCCCCAGAAAATGATTCTCTGTGATAGAGCTGGGCTTATTTATTTATTTCCATACCAAGGAATCTATTTTTCACTCCATGGAGAGTTTCCATTTTGAACCTGCAGCAATATCCGGAGAGAGAGTCCAGGGCCCGCCGGATAGGCCACCGCAACGAGCAGTAATAAAAAGATAAAATCAAACACAACTTACTCTGCTGGCGAGGGTGATAGGCGCTAACTAGGGGCGCTTTGAAAGGATCCGCTGCTGATGTTTAACACCAGGTGGGTGGGGCCCGGGGGTTGTTGCTGCCAGCTCTGATTCTAAGCCGCAGTGGCCTAAGGAGGAAAGAGAGACTCCGGATGAGAATTCAGCCCCTGCACGATTGCACGTGGAAGGAGCTCAGGCTAGGGGTGCTAGGTGGACAGGGGCTCGCACTGGACAGCTTCTCCCGCTGCCCACAATTCCCAGATGGGGATTATGAGATGGATGGCCTTCTGGAATCCTGGGAGAAAGGCTCCGTCCACACCACCCGCCTTCTTGGGATGAATGTGCAGCTGAGAATCGGGGTGCAGCCGCAGCCACGTCCCGTGCACCACAGCCGAGTGCCTGATGGCTGCCGAGTCCAGGCAGTGGATTAAAATCGAGTGGGTGAGACGCCTTCCACTGAGCATTCAAGACAGGTCCCCAACAGCTGAAAGACTGACCTGGAATTGGACCAAAAAATGTTAATGCGTTCAGCTTGCAGGCAGGCGGGCTGGAGTTCCTGCGTCTAACAGAGCTCCTGAGGCCCCTCCAGCACCTGGGGGAAGATTTGGGTTAATCTACTTCAATTTTATTTTATTCTGGGTTTTTTGTTTTTAGATGAGTTCCATTCCGCCGTGTAAAGAAACCCTTGCTGTATCGAATGTCCTCTCTGGGCCTTAGAACTTCATTAATTAGCATCTTTTAAATGGTTGGGTAATATTCTTTTCTCCCTTTTCCAAGCCATTTCCCCAAGCCCTAATTTTAATAAAGCTGGTGTTCATGAGCATTTGAATTTTAAAGCCTTTGGTTATAAGAAAGACAGAGAATGCATTTTAAAAGCGAGCCAATCAAGGATGACTCGGCTGGAGAACGGGACTTCTCTGCTTTTATGAATCTACTTTTAAAGATACAATATTATCTTAAGACTTTTTTTTTTTTCTGTAGAATAGCAGAGAGCAACCTAAAGAAAAAATTCCCTAGGCTTGATTAGGGGAGCAGGGACCCTGGGGAAGACCTGGAAGAGTCACGGGCGCGCTTTTGTGTTGGTGGCAATTTCATTTAAAAGGGAGCCAGGATAAATCTGTTTTTATTTTTTTCATCCATAAGCACTCTATTTCGGGTGGCAAAGGTGAACCATTTAAGAGCCTTTAAAAAGGGAATACATGACTAGAACTCCTTGAGATCTCAGCTTGCTCACAGAATTTGTGCAGAGATGAACGCATTTGCCAGTGTAGACTGTTCAAGGTAAAATGGCTGGAGATTGACTTCATGGTTCCCCACCTGCCTGGTGCCAGGCTGCGCGTTTCCCCAGCAACTGGGATAACATCATAACCACTGAGGGTGCTGCTGAGCCGCAGCCCCCTGGGCAGCTTCAGGTGGTTGTGATGCTATCAGCGGTTGCCAGGGCAACACAAAACCTTGACCTTCGGAGACCTGGCAGACAAGGAGTGGAGAAACATAGAAACATAGCTTTCGAGTCTTCTCTGGAGTCTGTGAAGAGAGGGATGTAGTTCTGCATCTCGCTGCCACTGGATACTTCATCTACATACGCACCCAAGTGAAGACTCGCTACCTGAGTGATCCCTGCAGGCTGGCAAGGGCCTCCCTTCAGGCAGGCAGAGGTGCTTGCATAGCACAGGAGGTGGAGGTTTGTGATCCTCCGTGGAACCCCAACCTCACCCGGGGCCCAGAACCTGGAGAGGGGGTTGAAGCGGTAGTTATTCCAACAACGTGGTACATGTATTGAGTTTCCAGAACAGTGGGTGACACGCCCAAAGTCACACCGACTTGGGGCTTGAGCAGTGGGGCCTCATCCCACTGGTCGTGTCCTGCTCCACCTCAGCCCATGCAGCTTGCCTCGCCCTGTACGAGCTAATGAGCCCGGGGTCCTCCCAGTGATCGGTTCTGCCAGTTCTCAGCAGGGTTCGCGCGCTACCTCCTTTTCCGAAACCTGTCAGCACTATTTTTGACCAAGTCACTATTGTCATCTAAGCTGTCTTTGAAAGCAGACACAAGGCACCTAGCTCTGACCTACTAGCTGATGAAGACCGGACTGTGCCCTGGAGCCGGAGAGCTGGAGGCGGGTCACTCCCAACTCCCGAGTCCCTCGTCATCGATGGGGTTCAGAACACGCTGCCTCAACATGAGCCACTTTGGCGTATTGATTATTTTGAGCTGAAGGCACCTGAAAAACAGCCAGCGGAGGAAGGATGCTCTGATTGCTCCCTTTTGATCTAAAAGCAGGTCATAAAAGTTCCCATTAAAAAGGTGACCTCCCTGTACCCAGAAGAGAAAATTCTTATCACTGGAAACTGGGACGGGATGTCAAAATATCCCAGGGCAAACAGACCTACTGCCGTCCCACCAGCCCCTTCGTGAGGCTCTTCCCCAGTTTACTGTTCTCTAGTTCAAATGCTTTGGGTCTCCTTATTTCTCGTGAAGGCTTGCACACAAAAATCCCCCAGTCCAGCCTGTGTGTTTTTCTCCTGTTAATCTGTCTCAGGTTAGTTTAATTTCCAGGGCCCACCCCAGAGTTCCTGCCACCCTTGATGTCACATATTTTGACAGCCTGTGGGGGACACTCTATCCTTTAAACCCTGTCACCATTAACAGAGAAGTCAGCTGGCTGATGGACATTTCAAGGGAAGCTTGGGCATCGTGAAGTGGCCTCTGGACAGCGCTGCAGTCCACAGCAAGAGTTTCTACCTGTCCGTGAGAGTGTGAAGGTGCTCGGGAAAATGGCCACTCTCTATTGACCGCTGTATGCCCTCAGCTGTGTCCAGACCTGGAGTATCTTTTTTTTTTTTTAAATCTTTATTTATTTTTCATACAAGCACTGGGTACAGTCAGAAGCGCGGGAGGGTGAGAGAATTCACCAGAGCCAGAGCAGGAAACAGAACAGGCAGATGGACCAAAATCCACTGCTGAGGGGAGCAGTGGGCATGGCAGGAGAGGTCTGCGCGCCATGTGGGATGCTCACTGGTGGCCGGGGATCGAACTGGTGCTGCAGAGGCTGCGGGCAGCTTCGCAGCCCAGCGCTCAACTGCTGTGCCAACAGAGGAGGCCCCCAGACCTGGAGTATCTTGATGGTACTCAATTACTATTTTTCACTCCCTCGGGTTATTGTTCTGCTTGCAGTGATGCCCGTAGTCCATTATGAGGAGAAAGGATTCTGGAAGGCTCACCCTTCTGAAGAGATTGATTATTGCTCCTGTTTATTTACAGGAGTTGCCTCTTGGTGCTGGCAGGACAGGCAGAGCCCTGCCCAGGACAAGGAGTGCTGCTCTTCTGGAAGCCAGTGATGAGGCAGAGTCCTGCCCAGGGGAGCGGGGGAGAGCAGACCATTGCTCTATAAAACCGGCTCCAAGCCCATGATGACAGCCCTTTCAGGACCCCCTACCTCAGGGGAAAGAGGAAATCTTTTTTCTCCTCTTCTGGTAATTGCATTTTGGGGGGACACCCCTGCACGATGCTGCAGGCATGCCACAGGTGGGATATTGGATTCCATGGAGGATTTGCCGTAGCAGCTCAGCTCTGGGTTTCTTTGTGGTGCTAATGCCATTTTGCTGAGTAATCAGCCCATTTTCTGAATGAATGTGGCATGCCATCTGCAATTTGTTTACTCAACTTCATGAGCTCCATTCCTTCCAAGGTGAAAAGCAGAGCTTTTAAGCAGAGATTTGAAATAGGTGCTTTACAGAATCTTGCTTGTTACTTACAGAGCAGGGACTATTAAAATGCAAAGAACTCAGTTACTTGGATTGCTGATGATCATCCTTGAATTGATGTAATTTCCTTAAATTGCTGAGTGGAACTTAGAGTTCTGGGTTTCACATTCAGCTTTTAACTACTTTTATTTTTCTGGCACTTAGGTATTCTCCAAAGCTACTGTTTGGCTTTCGAAGGTAGATGCAAGAAAGCCTGAGAGATGAAAGTCCAAATTTACAAAAACAGATCCATTAGTGGACTAATATTCCAACCATAAAAAAATGTCACAATGCAGCTCTTTAAATAAAATAATGCTTCCCAGTGAGTTTGAAATAGAATTTGATTTCCCTCATTGTATAGATGAAGAAACTGAGATGAGAATTGCCTCTCAGATATAAGTTTGATCCACACATAACCGTTCAGGAGCACATGTGTTACGGAAAAGACTCTACGCTTGCCTTACAGGAGATGGTGTCAGTGACACAAATTCTCAGTGGGAAATTGACATAAGATTTGAGACTCGGTTATGAATTCCTAGAGCCCCCTATGTCATTGCACCCCCACTCACAGGTCTTTCACTGACAACCAAAAACCTTGTTTTCAGTTTCTCCATTACCACCAGTCTAAGAAAAACGCAGCTGGTGTCTTCTGGAAACATCTTAGCTTGTATCTGCAAGAAGAGAAACAGTGCAGCCAGCAGAGGAAAGCAAGTGAAAGTATATGGATAACTATACTTCATGCTTGCATTGTCGCTTCCTTGCTCATTTCACCTACCCAAAGTAGCCCTATTGCGGGAACTCCATCTCCAGGCTGGGGTGTCGATGGCACTCCAAATCAAGCCAATGGCATTCTCCCTCTATCAGATTTGAATCAAAAGACATAGACATCAAGTCAGCCCAGCGGTTATGGGTACTGGAACAGGCAGATCGTGAGACCTCAGGTAAGGCCTGGTAATTATTTCCAGTGATAGGAAGGGAAAAGCAGAGGAAGTTGGTGTACAGAAAGAGGAGATACTCAGATGGAATAGCATCTGAATCCATGTGGCCGGCCTCCCTCCTGGCCTAGGGGCCGAGTCTTCGTGCTATCATCACTGCTGAGGCCTGAGTCCCCAGCCAGGGAGCTGGCCCACATGGCACAGCCGACCTCTCCCGTCTCCCCACTGCTCCCCTTGTAACAGGGTGGTCCCCAGGAAAGGGGGAGGTTCCCTGCCCCACCCAAGGGAGGGTGGAGCTGAGCAGGAAGAGAAGAAGCTGCAGGAAGAGACGGAGGAAGGAAGCAGGATGGAGCCAGGAGACTTGGAGGAGGCGCATGGAGCCTAGAGACACGTGAAGAAACTGCGCTTGTCTTTTGGTCGTGGACGGGGTGACACAGATGTGGGTGAGACCCGTGGGGAGATGACCATGGCAGCTTTTATCTTAATGTTGATTTTGCTCTTTTCCTTCCGGGCTTGTCCAGTTGTTTGTGACCCTTTTCTGTGGGTCCCCACTGGAAGATGTTTTAGACTTGTGGCAGGCTTTGGGGCCTTGCTCTGGGCCAATCCCATATGGATGGACTTTTACCCACGAGGGGATGGGTAACTTTGGGTGCTTCATTTAGAAACTAGACTCTTTGCCTTACCTGTATTGTTTCCTAGTTTAATTAAAGTTCCTTCCCATTAAAGTCTCCTATGTTTTGTGTTGATGCGGCGGATGGCAGAACCCATGTAGAATAGGCAGGTTTGCAGGGTTTGGGCTGACCCTCTCCCTGTCCTATAACACCCTCAGCAGTGGATTTCAGTGGATCTGCCTGTTCGGCTCCCCACTCTGTCTCTGGTGAATCCTCTCAACCCCCACAACTCTGGCTTGTACCCTAATTCTCCCGTGCAGAAAGAAAAAAAAGACTCCGTGCGCGAAGAGAGTTATTGCTTGAAAACATCAGTCTTACAAGAGCCATACTCTGTCTCCTCTTCCCTTTAATGTACATGTCCATGATGAACTTTTACTGGCTTTTGGTCTGAGTGAGATGATCTCCCTGGCAGTTGAGGGGCCTGAGGATAAGATGGTGACTTGATCTTTTAGAACTAAGCATCGTGGAAAAATTTTGTTTCATCATATTGACATATTCTGAGATGAATTAAAAAACTGTGCCATCAATGACCTTCCACTGGGTCCTTCCATCTGAGTAGCCATCCCTCTGTGGGATCCCTGAAGCTATTGCTTGGAGATTGCCCCACCTTTGCCTATGTTTTCTAGGAATATCTGGGTCTGATTCTCCCAGCCCCATTGCACTCTGACCTCCTATCTCTGGGCCTGCTATTTATCCTGCCCTGAAACTCAGCCTGCTATACTTCCCCAAGATAACTCCCACACACAAAGTTCTTGAAAAGTGAATTTACTGAAGAACTGGGGGTCATGTAGGGTTACTCACTATGCATTGCAGAGCAAAGCATAGACAAAATACTCCAGATCTTCCAAAACATCTTCATGGCCATTACTGTTCTCCAGGCTCCCTTCGGCCACTCTCTCATCGGATTTCTGCTTTTAAAATATCTGTCCCCTACCACGTTGCCTTTTATACCCCACATCAAGGTCTTCCCTCTCGCACGTCTGTTCTCTCTTTTCTCATCCTTTCCCTCCCCAAAGAAACAAATAACTCCCTCTCCATTGTGTACGCAGATCGGGCTCACCTGCTTTTCTGAAAACTTGGCAACAGCCAGGGCTCGCGCCTTGGAGATCACACCTTCTCACTGAGGACTTAATAGATATTTTCCCAAAGCTGTGTTGTCTCTAAGCAGAATTCTGGTGCCAGAGGCTCAGATAGTGGTGGTAGTGATAGTGGTGGTAATAGTTAGTGTCCTCAGTGCCCTGGGGTGTCCATCCATGCACCTGGACTCTGGCCATCACTGACAGCTAGCCAGTCCTCCTTAGTGCTGGTCAGCATGGAAGTGTCCCCAGGACCACCCCAGGACAGTGTCTGAGCAGGGGAGCTCCCTGCCCCAGGGGGTCTGCCTAACCCACATCAAAGCGGAGTGTGTGTGCTTCACACAATGGTGTTCTATGTAGGAATAATTTCAAGAGGAAGGTCACACTGCTAAAAATAGCTTCTAACCTCCCGAAGTAGGAAGTGAGAAGTCGCTGAAGAATTTTAAGCAGGGAAGTGACAAGCTCTCAACCAAGGGCTGAGCTGAGAGGAGAGGTGCTGGGGTCAGGGCCCGGTGAGGGGCCGTGCAGCCTCCAGCAGCGATGGGAGTATCAGGACAGAGAGCTGCTCTGAGGACTGCCTGGGCAGTGGCCAGCTGGCTTGGCCATCTGAAACAGAGGTGGGCATTTTTTATCCATTAAGTTTATTTTGATTTACTTCATTCATTCATTTACTTTCTCCATGCGCCACATGTGAGTGAGATGACATGGTGTTTGTCTTTCTCTGTCTTCTTTCACCAAGTACCGACCCCTCCAGGGCGCCATTCATGCTGTTGCAAAGGGCAGTTTCATCTTGTTTTTGTTTGCTTGTTTGTTTATAGCTGAGTAGTATTTTTCAGTAGGTTTTTAAAAAATAAGTTAATGCTTGTACATCATCTTCATTGCTTCCAGAAAGTCTGGACTCTTTGGGTGACCATCGGGGACGTAGCGGTGACTTCGTGACTTTGCCCTGCCCCGCGGCCTTCTCACTTAATGCTCTTCTTTGATAACCCAAACAGGCCACTTTATTTAAACAGCCAAGCATGGCAACAGCAAAGCGCCCTGAGTGCCTACAGCACATAAATAGACACAGAGAGGAAGCTATTAAAGAATTAAACTCTCAGGTGTAGTTGGATGTTTAGAACGTCTGCTTTTGTTTCTGTACGTCCACACCCGGACGGCAGGCGCAGGGTCAGTGGTGATCGGTGTGTCCTCCGCATCCAGCGATGCTTTTCATGGGTAGCGAGTCCCGGTTAACCCCGAGAAGCATGTGGATGCCTGCGTCCCAGGGCAGTGACGGTTAAGTAGGCAGCTTCAGGGACCGTGCAGGCAGGGACTTGGGAGAGTGAAAGGAGGCCTCTGAGGTAAGGGCAGAGAAATTCAGGGGGACTGAGGAGATAAAAAGAGAAACTCTATGATAAGAGCTGGGAAAATGGGCACATCTGCCTGGAGGAGAACAGCCACTAGGAGGAAGGGCCAATCACATAATAGGATGGTGGGATTTCAGAATAGAGGGGAAAAAGTTTTAAATACCCCTAGGCATGGGCCCCCAGTGGCTTCCTTGCCCCTCCAAGGACAGCATACCTGGGAATCCTTGCTTTCTTCCTTTACATAAACTTTTCTTTACTCTCAGAGGTGCTGTGGGTCTGTGGGACAGTGAGTCTCAGCTGTCACCAGGCTGTGAATGCATCTGTTAAAAGTGACAGTGTAAGTGCTTGTCAGAGCCCCTCAGGGACTTCTCTTTGTTCTTAGGCTTCTGTCCCCACCTCCCTACATACCCCGTAGTCTGGCTCCTGTAGCTCCCACTTCTCTGTGACCCTCTTTGCCGAGGTGCTGCTTAGACTTGGATCTCCCTTCAGTTCTTCTTCCACTGAGCCCCCCACTCCTAGCATGGTCCAGGGGCACCCCTCACCTGGAATCTCATCTCGGATGCAGAATGAAGCGCAGCAGAGGCAGGAGGGTTGGAACCCAAGGGAGGTGTTGATGATCTGAAGACCCCCTCTTGTTCTCAATTCTCACACCCTCTGATCAAAAGTCTTACCTCCTGCACCAGTGAAGGTGACGCTAATGATTGGGAACAGCACCAGTGTCCAGCTGCTGATACCATAGAAACACCCCAAAAGTGATCACCCCAAGTGCCCTCAATGCCCAGTCTCTTATTTGGATCTTGTTTCCATTTACCTTTTGTTTCTGTGAAGCCTTTTTTGATTCTTGCTATGGTTCCTAAGTTTGACACATGGAATTCCTACCCCCCACCCCCTTTATTTAAGCCTCAGCTCTTCACAGTGGACTTTGGATTGTTTATGGCAACAGGAGTTGAATTCAGTAGGAATCCAGCCCCATGAAACCCAACCACAGCCCAGCCCTGGCCAGCAGTCTGGGGCCTGCTTCGACTCCCCGTGGAGTTAGAAAAATAAGACATTAGTCATTGGATTTGCAGAGGATACTTCCAGAATATGAGCTGCAATCAGAAGACTCACATTGAGATGAATTTTCCTACCAGCAAATTTAAAGATGTCTAGGCATAGGAAGATGGTGTTTGTGCATGCACGTGTGCATATAAACATCCAAATGAGAAGAACAAGAAATATGAGCCTCGCTGTAGCACTAGTCATGAAAGAAATCTTGCCAGGCAAATTTCAACTTTACGATTGGCTTTAATCAGCAAACGAGAGAACGAATAGAGCCCAGCGACTGTCCCTGGTCCTGACTCTATTAGCACGGTGCACAGAGCACTTCACAAAACGATAGCCCGTCGGGGCACGAAGTCAGCTGGGAGGTGAGCCTGGCTGGGCTCGGAGCTGCTGGTTGCATGAAAATGGAAGGT